AATTAATCATTCTGATTTAAGTATTTATAAAAGGTTCTAATCTTTCAATAATTGCTTTTGTACCTTTTAATGTTTCTTTAAATATATTGCGAAATGTTCCACTCCAAATTGAAATTGTGAATTTATATAGTAAACCTAAACATAATTCATAACAATATTATATTAAAGTAATAAAAATAAATATATAAGCATTTAAGTATAAAAAATAAATATATTTTTTAAATACTATCTATATTCTTAGTTTACTTACCAGTTGAATGCAAGTCAGAGTGCATGAAACTCCATTTATTATTAATAATCTTTTCATATTCAGCAGAATAACACTGTCATAACTTATAGATCTATGGACCTACTGCTAGACATGGATTAGAGGAGTCCACCAATTTTTTTTTGTTTTGGTGTGATCGATCACTTAAAGCAGATTCTGATTTACAAAATTAGAGTTTAGATTCAAGAGTACATTATGCATGGGGAAGGTTATAACACCTTCATAGCGCTCATCCAAAGGATGATACCAGTTTAATTTCAGATTATCCAAGCCTTAATCATGTTTATAATTTACCAAATTGTTTAATTTTGAAAATTAGTCTTAAAATCATCTCAATAGTTTGGTAACGACTTTAAGATAATTCTCTCAACTCAAGAATATTCATAGAGTAAATTATTTTATTTCAAAAAAATATATTAAGTCTTCCAATAGTTTGATAGGACTTACCTTAAAGTAGATCTCCCAATAGTTTGGTGAGATTTTTGTAAGAATTTGGGAATTAAGTCTCCCAATAGTTTGGTAAGACTTAATTTGAATCAAACCTCCAATAATTTAGAGAATAAAAAAAAATTTTATTTGTTCTACACTTTTTATATATTTTTCTTGAAATTGATTTATTGAAAATTTTATTTTTTATTCTTTTCTTATTTTTTTTAAAGGCTCTTTTGAAGAGATTTTTTTTATTCAATTTTTTCTATCCTTCTAGAAAGAGAAGATTTATTTATTTATTATTATTAATTAATATTGAATAAAAATATGAAAAACTAGTAAAATTATAAAACTAAAAATAATAAGATAAAAATAAATAAATAAAATAAAATTGAAAATAAAATGAAAAAAAACCTTGCGATTCGGTTGTCAAGTTTGAAACAGGTCAACATGTGGATCTAGCTCGGGTTCAGTGGATCTAAGTCACGTAAACTGACATCATACAGAGGTAGTATAAAAGTCAAGTTCAGTGCTTTTTGCTCAAAAGCCTCCTTTTTTTTCCCTTTCTAGTCGGATTCTTTCTACATTCTCTCTAAAACCTAGCTAAGAACACCACCAAAAACTTCAACCAAAAATTGGAAAACCTATTGATTTTTGAAAAGTTGTTGAAAAATTCAACTAAAAATTGAAAAATCTATCAGTTTCTGGAAAAGCCACCGGACATCGTCAGATTTCATTGAAAAATTCAACGATCGTCAGAA